TTTAGAAGATATACATGCAATCACAGAGACGCGAGACTATCCGTTAGAGACGTATTTTTGTTTATGTTGGTTTGAAGCTGATGACGTGAGATGTGATTTGTTTTTGGGCTTTGCTTTTAGGCTGACAATGTGCTTTTAGGCTGACAATGTGAGCAATTTTGTTATTTTTTTTTCGCTGGATGTCGGCGAGAGAAGCAAAAGCTATGCACATACATAAGAGTGTACGATATTCCGCGCAAGATACCATCCCACTCACACATAGAACACCGCCGGTGATCATAATAATTTGAAACGCCAACAATGTCATCGCGCGGGGGGGGTGTTATCTTGTGTGTGAAATACGGGCAGGTTGACGTCCACGGGTTTTGCTTGTTTGGCGTCTCTTAGGTCCGTCTACTTTAGGATGACTCCAAACGATGGATACTCCATACCGCTTAACCGCGGCGAGCGTGTGTGTTTCATCACGGCGAGTCTCGCCGCTGGTCAGCTACCTGTATATTTTCTGCTTGTTTTTGGATCATCTGCCGCGCCGCTACTCCTCACGGCCACTTTCGTCCGTCCCTGGTCTCGTACAGTATACGGACGCTTTCCATGTACGGTAGCCTTTCTTGTGATGGTGCGGTTACCGACGACGGCTTCAACCGAGGTGCCCATGCTGCAGCTACCGCACGGCGGATTTTTATGCTCTGAAAACCTATGTACCGGTTCGGAGTCGACAGTTACATGTCGTCACCACCACACGACGGACGTCCCCTCAGCAGCAGCACCACGATCTTCATACACACCACCATGTAGCAAAGGAGAAAAATACCTTGTCTGGTCATTTGTGCCGTTTTTCCTCGCCGAGCGCAGGTCCCGCCCGTACATTGCGGAGAACAAGTCGGGGTGGCACCCGCTCATGGGCTCCCTGGAATGGTTCAAAGAAGTTGGGCCGCTCATCGAGAAGACGGGGGAGACGCCTCCGATGGAGTGCATTCAGGTATGCCCGCCTGCAACCATTCATTAGTTGTGTTCTTGACATCGGCCTCGCTGCATGTCCGGGTGGCCAAGTGGAAACCGAACCGCTTCGAAAGGCTGTGATCTTGGGCCCTGTGAGGGCGTGCAAGTGTTTGTGTGTGTATGTATGTGTATTCCTATCTAGAGGACCCCCTCGTTTCTTACCCGCGGGCCTGGGACCCTGAGAGCCCCCCCTGCGCCGCCGACACGTTCGTTCGATTAATATTGCTGTCAACAGCACCCCTCCCGTCCCCCCCCCCCGGATTGCATTCTCAAAAACGACAATGTAAACGTTGTTCCTATCAGCAGGACTCACCTACTTTTTACTCTGTGACCCTTGTACCCTCCCCCCCCCCCCCCATTTTTCACCGCCACTTCCGAAAGAACGCGGGGGATTTGG